TGTCACACACTCTTCTCTCTCTCTTCGTGGGACAGTTGAAATCGAATCGATCCCCGGTAAGGACTTGGCCGCTCCGTTTTTGTGCTTGAATTCCATTGTAAATGACGCGAGTTTTTGGTACAACCCCCATGCATCTATATATGCATATATATTTAGCCAGACACATGCACATCTGTAAATAGGTGTGTCCAACTGGCGTGAATCCGTACCACTTCTGATATACACACACATCACAGTGGTCCATGTGATCCAGCGCCCCGGTTCACATCATTTCATCCCACTTCACCTCATTTGTGTCGTCGTAATTTTTTTTTGTTTGCATCGGCCTAGTGCTTTTCATCCGCGCTTCTGGTAGATCGATTCCACCCGGGGATTGTACCCTGTAATTGGGCAGCAGTTGTTTTCCGGTGTTCCATCTCCTCGCTTTGTGCTGTTATCTTGTTTTTTCTCGGAGGGCCGTATCATCCATTCATTCAATCCCTTTCCACTGAAACTGATTTCCCCTTCTGAAATCCCATACCAGTGGATTTTTCCCCCGGCCCAATAAATGCAGTTCGGTGTCCTGTATGCATGGTTGTATTCATATTTGACATGCATATTTTTTTCTGTTGAGGGTCTTCATTTCCACTAAAAAAAATAGACACTGTTGACGTGATTCGACAAGCAGGTGCTTGAAGATAGCTCCAAGTCCTTCGATTTTCACTGTGTGAGGTTTACACCTTATTTGACTATATGCTGCTTACTTTAGTCTTCTAGGTCACCGAGTCAGCAACATAACCGATTTGTTCGGAATTATCTCACGACCCCGACTTCGGTTGATAGTCATAAGTAGATGAAACTTGAATTGGTCACTCGTCAGCTGTTTGCGGCGTAATACATTCCACCACTGGTGACGTGAACTCCATTCAACTCACTCCCACACACACTTCTGTGCCAAAATTTCACACACATTATTCTGCACTCCCGTGCTCACCAAATTGCCCAGAATTGTTTTCAGTCGTCCCCGATCAGTTTTCTCATTCGCATTCATCCTTATTGCATATCGTGATCGTTATCGATTGTGGAAAAAGTCACTGGGACCTTGTTTTCAATTATAGAGCTCGATTGCCTAAGCCTCGCGACCTGGCGTGTTGAGCCACATCAGGCCCAGTTGGCAAAGGCTTGTTAATGAACCGGATGACAGCCAAGAGACTACTCACCGAAATTGGAGGAAGTTTTCATGGTTCAAAACACAAACCTCAACCTGGGACATGCTGTTGACAGTAGCTCAAGTCCTTTCAACCAACCCGGTTACCTAAATTACCTAGCAACTCGTTTCGTTAGCTTGTAACTGACCTCCCACCGCCTTATTTAGCGTATTACGTAATAGCATTGGGTATGTGTATGTAACTCATTAGTGTCGATCTCGTTTATTGACCTAAATCGATTTTGCTCACCCCTGACGCTTTTCTGACGTCTGTCGTTCTGCTCTTCGGGATTCGACATGGATTAAGGCAAATATATTACATCCACTCTAAATTTGTACAATTCATGATAAACCGATTGACAGTAGGTTTTGTACGTTAATCCATATTACCCCTTACCTGTATTCTGAATCCCGACTAATGAGAATGGGATTCGCGTTCCTCCCCCCCCCTCCACCCGATGTGGTTGTATCTCATCGTGCTGTTGTCTCTCTCTCTCTCAGTGGTTGCGTCGTTCCATTTCATTTCTTTTTCGTTCACGCTTTCACCGCGCACCTTCTCCATCGTTTAATTGATCATCAGTCACGTCATATCGCGTTGTCATTCATTCATTCGTATGTTTCATGCAGTTCTATTTGTTCATCCCGACTGGATACAACGCGAACATGTTATTTCATCCTTTATTTGTATATCATCTTCATCGCTCCGTTCACAAGGCATGCTAAGACTTATTTGCCAGATCTGTTCCGTTTGGTAACATCGTGCTGATTTGCTCCTCTCAACGTTCAGACTGCCAGTTCGGTTCCGCTCAACGGGATTCCTCCCGAAGGCTACCTCGGTCCGGATTGCGAAGGACCGGTTTATTCACCATCCGTTCCAGAGGATTCCGTACTCTGGCCCGGGCCGCATTTCGATTGGCTATCAACTCTACACCCGACAGCCACTCCGTATGTTCCACAAGTAGGCGATCGGTTAGTCTACATTGTGCGTGGACACAAAGACTATTTGGCTCAATCCTGGCAGAACAATGAACTTCCCACATTGTCTCCTCCCACAGAACATGGAGACAGTTTACCAACTACAACTGTGAATCTGAAGAATGCATTGCCATGGGTTTCTTGTCCCGGAATTCCAGTGAGTAACCGTTTAGTCATCCCTGATTATTCATGTCCGACAATATATATATATATATATATATATATATATATATCCTAAATAGGGTAGACTCTTTTTTGTCAGCATTCCAACGCTCTTCGCGGTGGATTCAAAGCATATTCCAATAAACAGGACTGTTTTCTATACATTATGATCTCGGTCATTATGTACTAGAGCCACTGAGATTCTCTGAATTGGCTATGTGCATACCCCTTTGCTCTTGCTTCACAAGCCAGTTACTAATGCTCTTTCTTACGATGTTTGTTCGATGTCGAGATCGGACGACTGGCGCGTTCAATTGAGA